GGCGTTGACCCCCGCGGGCCGGTGCGGGGCGGGCACGGCGGCGGTCCGTCCGCGGGGCTCACCCCGGAACAGCAGGGTGCAGGCCCAGGCCCCAGCAAACGTTACCTGGTGGGAAAAAAGGAAGACCAGGAAGAACGAGCAAGAAAAAGCCCTCCTCTCTGAGCACCCTTGGACTTTGAGGCAGAGACCAAAGACTGTGACCCAGACAGGCTTCGTTAGAGATGTGCCATGACCAGCGACTGCACAAACTCCCAAGCAGGCTCAAAGCTTACCTGAAAAACTATGTAAAGCACCCACAGTCTCAGTACTTTGGGTCCCTGCATTGTTTCGGTGGATCTGAACTTTTACCAAAGGAAAAGCAATCTCAAAGTGCTTGCATAGCCAAGCCACTGGTGCTGTTGCAATCAATATGCATCATGTTGCTTTGCAAAGTGTAACACAAAATAGAGGAGCTTCAGGGCTGGCCACAGACTTCTTCAGGCACACTGGGATGTGAAGAAAGGAGGAAAACTGATGTCTGAGCTTCTAGAGAAAATTATGCTATTCCCACAGCACTGCTCCTCATAACCAGAGCAATGCTGTGACTAGGTGGCTCATCATAAACAAGAGTGAAGAAGATAGAAAGAAATGTACTCAGGTGCCCAGTAAGAATTTCAGAAATAATCCTAAAGATGTGTACTAAGTCAGAAAGTGATATAAATTTTAAAGCTCCATCATTATGGAAAAACGAGTCTTATACATACAGTAAGCATTCATTGATACTTCTGTGCTTCGCGTCATGTTAAATACCTATGTGTGCAAACCTTTGCAACTCTTATTATTAATAGTCTAACACAGCAAAACTCATTTGAGCAAGGACTGCAGTATCAGAACTGGTTTTAAACTATGGTAGAAGTCATGTTTAACATTTGTTCTTGCTAAGGACACAGCAAATAGTATTTCCATTGAAGTCAACAAAACAACTCACATGAGCATGGATACACCCCAGGGAATGGATTTATTTTCTTAAAAAATGAAGCATTTCTGCGGCTCATAACTTACTTCAAGGCAAGAATTGTATCTTCAAAAATTTTTGTACAACACATAACATATCCCAGTCATATAGTGTAATTAGTGCTATTGAAGCAAAACTATAATTATTTTCTATTGCCTTGTTTGTTTGGCATTCTAATCCTTATCCAAAGCTAGTTTAAAAAGAAGGTAAACCTATTAAGTTAACAGAGTTAAACTAAATCCACATTATTATTAAAAAGCTGGTAATTGATTTAGACAGAGTTCTCAGAACTAGACTGGGAAATACCAGAAAGCCAGGAGAAAGGCCTTTTTCATTAGTTTCAGGTAGGATATGAGGAGAAGCAGAAATGCAGCTAGAAATTCTACAAACATCATCCTCTTCTTTAGATTTCACATTCCAGTTTTACAGATCTGGCAGTTTTCATTGATTTACGTGACTTTAAAAAATGCTTCTGAACTTGAGAAGGCTTATATGTTTGCAATTTTGAATTTTAAGGCCAACACCTTAATAATTTTTTTCCTACTATCATTGAATTCCCCTAATTGTAAGGAAGGTACAAAGAGAAGATGACAGGAGGAAGACAAGAAGGGAGGGAAAAGAGGAGGGAAAGAGCAAATTAATAAAAAAATCGGAAAAGGGGGGAAAATGGTTAAAAAATAGAAAAAAAAAAGATAAAAATAAAGATAGAAAAAGGAACAGGAGAGGAAAGCAAAGGAGGGGAAGGGAAATGAGAAAAAGAAAGAAAAAAAGGAAAAAAATTAAGAAAAGGGAAGATGAGAAAAAAATATTTAAAAAGATAAAATATAGGGGGCAATAGAAAAGAAAATGAGAAAAGAAAAATAAAAAGACAGAGAGAAATGGAAGGCAAAGAGTGGAAAAAAGAAAGAAGAAGAGAAGCCAATATTTCTTGCAGACCCTGGACCACTTAAGAGTGGGGAGAAGAGGTGTCTAAGCAGAGTGCAAAACTGGGGCCATAGTAAAGCAGAAGTGAACTTGTGCTCAAGGTCTATGTGCTTCTCAAAGTTCAGTAGCAGCATAAAGTGCCTGTAGAACAGTTGAAAACTGCTGTGATCTGAGTGAGGTTAGATACATAACTGTGGTGATAGTTGCTCCTGAGGGGCCCATTCTCACAGTTCTTACTCATGTGAATTGTCCCTTTGATGCTTAATAGGATTACTCTTGTAAATCAGGGATGCTATATCAGCCCAATGCCCAGGGTTATACTGATCATGAAGGGCTTGAACTTGCAAACCGCGTTCATGTGAGCAACCGTTTTTCATGACAATTTTCTCATTGACTTGAAGAACTATCCATGTAGCCAGAGACAGTAGAATCGGGACACAAATTTAGGGTCAGCATGAAAGTAGGAATACAAGAGTTTTTCATTTAACCTCCAGCATGGAACAGATACTCAACAAGAAGGGCAGATAAGTGCAATCATTCTCTTTTGACTGCAGGGAAGGCAGGGGAGAGTCATGTATTGATCAGCCTTGTTCTGTTCTGTCTCCTTCTCTGTCTCCATTTATTCACCATAATTAGAATGGTAAAGAAGGTATCAACAATACGTTTTCACCGCACCTGAAGATTTTGTTCACCACCTCTTTGCTAATATAAATTAGTTGTTTCCTCAAATAGCTCTTCTGTAAAATTGATGAATTATGCCTCCTGCATTAAATAAACCAATGAATTACAGGATAAAACAAACCATGAACACTAAGACTCAGTCCATATTTTAACAACATCTGAAATACTGTTTAAATGACAAAAGGAAAATATTATAAAAATATTTAGTATAATAGACCACAGTCAGGTTTTGTGCTACTCCATTAAAATCTGCACCCTCTGGTTAGAAAGCACTTTCACGATATCAGATGTTGACACCTATGTAATTTCACTGATTCACATGCTTCTGCTTCAGAAGATTTCAAACTGCTGTCTGGTTTCTCTGAGGAACTGCTCCAAGAACAGTAGGAAAGGGTCTTTCTTCAGTTAGGAACACTTCTGCTGGGTAAAGCTCAGTGAAGGCTTCTCTGGAGTAAGCTGCCTTTTGGTTGAACTTCTAACTCCAAAACAGCTGTGTCCATCCATCCATCCATCCATCCATCCATCCATCCATCCATCCATCCATCCATCCACCCATCCATCCATCTCTTTTATTCATGCCACTGTTTGAAGAAAAACAGTTCTCAGTATTGGAATTTGGAGGTTTTTTAGAATTCCAGCTGCTCACTTATGAGACAGAAACAGCAGCATATAATTTGAGTGACCACTCACAGTGGGTGGTGACCAACAAGCAGTGAGAGAAGGTGAAAAGATACAATCTCCGCTAAGCACAAGAGCAGTCATATCTGCTGACTGTCTGCTCAGTTAATACATTGTCCAAAACCCCCACAAAGCTTATTTACTGGTCATTTAAAGAGACTATGTGTAAGGTTATCCTCTAAAGTTGCCTACTGTCTTCCATCAAGTAGCACCATTGTTACAAGGAATGTGCAAGACAGGGATCAAAAGTCAGGTTTGTGGATATATCATAAAAAATACTTCCAACACATGAAAAATAGCTATAGACTTTCGCTCTACACAGCTTGATGTCCCAGTTGAGGAACAACTCAGAAAGGGATTGGTGGGCATATAGGCAAACCTTTTCAGTAGGTCGATATATAAGCACATCATGGACCATTTTTTGCCTTGATTCCTCTTTCACTGTATATGAATACTGCAGCAATGGTCTCTTCTGAAGATAAGTCTGCCAGCACAGAACCACCTTTGCAGCTGACAGTAATGCATATGTGGTGAGGTATTTAAAGTTCCATGCTGTGCTGATGGGAAAAGGGCATTAACCTCAGCTTTTGTGATGTTATTTGATTGTACAACTGTTTTTATTAGGAAAGCAATATATTGCATATCATTAAAGGTCGTGAGAGAGTCTATATCATTACAATGCTCAGATATGACAATAAAACAGATTTTGCAGACGCCATAGTAAGTTACTTTCAAACTAATCCAGTGAGAAGGGTTATTTGTTAAGCATTATTAAATTAAACAAAATCTGATCATTTAAAATAACACTGAAGGAGAAAAATATTCATCATAAAAGTGGAAAGGTTATCAAGTTTCACTTCACAGATTGAACAGACAAAGTATACAGAACAAAATTATTTTTAAGACATTAAGGCTTTAATCATTAATAGAAGAGTCCAGTAGGTTTTCCTTGTCATAGTACTACTGCTCTGGAGGCACAAGAAAATTATAAAGCTGAAGAGCAAACTGGAAGATTTCTTGCTACAGTGCCACTCCACCTGTGCACAGAAGGCTTACAATCAGTTTGAGTGAGCTACAGAGAAGACACAGATGATAAAAAGTATCTGTCAAGAAGTTGCCAAAGTAACTCTGTAGACAAGAGATTCCTGGAAATAAGCAAAAGCTTTACAGATGTTGAAGATAACCTGTAAACATACAGACCTGGTATGTCTGTAGATAAATAGGTAAAGTTACAAAGTTAACTTTTAAAGTGCTCCCAAATGATACTGTGAGGTTTTTAGACTTGTGTAGATGTAGGTATTTATGTAAGACTGAAAGAGCCAGTGAAGCAAGTTCATTTTTCCATGAGGGTACTGAACTGCTCTATGATGATCTGAACCTTTGCTCACAGTGAATCTTAACTGGATTCATATCACAGTTGAATGTCAACAGGCTAGATGGTCTTGTCGCTCATTATTAGTCATCTGAAATTGAAGTTTCTTAGCACACTGTACATAGATCACTGGTGGGATGTGAGCTGTCTTTAGCTAACAAAGCTGCTTTTTGCTGGCAGTGTGGAGACACTTATGAGAGCTGAAGGCAGTCAAGGAGAGGTGCACTCCTGTGCAGGTAGCTATTTTTGAGGAGTAACCATCTGGAAGAAAGAACTTAAAAGTTGCATGTAAGCAAGATATTGATCAGTAGTAATCCCCTGTCCTGTCAACCGGCATGTATCACTGGTCAGGTGGTAGGACTGTGGGTAGGATTCTGTTGGAAGTATTAGATCAGAAGATGCGGGGAGAGGAAACAGGCACCTCAGCTTTTGGGTATCTGTTGTCATCCTGTAGGAAATGAAGGCTGGAGATTCCTGCCTTCAGCAATTCAGCTGTCTTCAACTCACAGCTTGGAAGAAGATGTGTAATGAATGAAGAGTGAATACATGCT